TATATATATATATATATATTTGTGGATATACGTATTTATTTATACGCCAAGAAGACACGAAAAATCGTAAAAACATCGCTGGAATATTAAATTGTAACGTGTTATTATATTATCGATCGCATTGCGTTCACGTATCGATCGAAGCAAACGATATTTTGAACAATATTGACAATTACGATAAAATCGATAAAAATCGATCGTATCTCAATAATTAATCGATTTTTCGAATCCCGTGATGTAATAATTTTTGATTATAAGAATTCGTATCGTATGATCAAATGTCACGTGTTGTAACGAAAAAACTTGAAGAGTTGCATCTCGTTAAAAATCTCGGGAAGTAACGAAAAATTAGTTATTGTAATATTCATCGTCGCTTAAACTTTCTTTTACATCAAAAAACTTTCGAATCGAAACATTTTTTCATACATCGACAGTTGAATAATCAACGACAAAATAAAGTCAAAATATTATTCTAATATCTATGAGTGCAACGAGTACCATATCGATATATTATAATCGTATATTACAATCATATCTATTTGTGATACGTTCTTGTTTTTCTTCTTCTATCCTTATATTTATTCCTCACACATCAAACAGGAAACATAAGAAAATAGTCATTTTACGCACAAGTCATAATTTACAATGAACAATATTACGATACGTTTATAAATTTTATAAATAAACTTTTTATTTTATCAATTGTAATATATTTATTATATATTATAAACAATAAGAGATAAAAAGAATTCTTGTTGTTCAAATTTTTTTTAACAATCTATGTTAAAATATTGCTTCGAATTATTCAATATTATGAATATATTACGAACGTATTTAATTAATAATTAAAATCAAAAATGAAAACAATCTTTGTAGTTCGAATATGTAAATTAACGTTAAAAAAAATTGCATCAATATAACGTATGATTTATCGTATCGTTTAATGTTCATTGCGATATAATGTATATACATATATATTACATAATTATTATTATAAATTAATATAAATTTTTACATATAGGAATAAGTATATAGTATGTATATACTAGTAATATAAGTATCTAATTGAGTAGAAGAAAATGATATTTTATTAATATATTTACATCGAAACGCGATAAAAGGATATTTTTTATAAATGTTGCATCGTGTAAATATTCATATAATATAATTTTTTACTTTCGTTTCGTATAAATATAAATTAAATTAAAATTGGTCATAAATTTCTCGTAAAATATCATCACTTCACAAATAATTGTACCAATTTCTTCTGATTTAGATTAAATAAAATAGTTTCTCTATTTTTTTTTTTTTTTTACTTCAATTTCTAACTTATATTATATAACTAAATTTATATATATTATTAAATTTAACATTTTTGAGCAATGCGACTAGTTAACTTTTAAGTACGGAAATTTATTATCATATTGTACTTATCGTTGGTATTCGATTAATTTGTTAATTTGTATACATATACTCACATATATATCTTTAAATGTTCATACAACCGTTAATTCTTTGTCACTTTGTTTTTGAGGATTCGCAGTTTTTGGATTGTTCCATGGTTGAATCTCAGTGCTGCCAAATATGATAAAAATTAAATTTCCTAAAATATAAATTGCGGCGGACAAATAAAACACTATGTTCCATTGGGTAACGTTTTTCTGTAAAAAATATATTAATATAATTATCTAATTTGTTAATAACTTAACTTAAAGAAAATCAATTCGATTAATAATATACTTTTTGCGTTACGATGAGGCCGCAAACCATTGGTGCAATTATCGCGACGATGGATGCGATACAATTGGTGATAGACATCATTCTACCGGCGAAATTCGGACTTAGATCGATGTGATTAATTTGAAATCCGCATAGAGAACCAGCGTTTAACCCTACAGCTATCACAAGAATAATTACAGCCACTTTGTGATCCTGCACCGACATCGCTGCAAGACAAATCAACGCTATCGCTGGTCCCCAGTGTGCGATCGTGTTGCAAACTTTTCTAATTATTCCTGCCGAGATACCCTTCTTTAAAGCATAATCGGCCAGCCAGCATACCGGAAAACTTAAGATCCACATCACTAAATAGGGAAGCGCCGATATCATACCATTCTGAAAAAAAAAGAAAGATATATGAATATATGTATGTATGTATATAGAAAATATATAAATATATAAAAAAATCTGATACAATTTTCTTTTTTCTTTCCCCCGATATTATATTATCTATATCATCTTTATTCCATCAATCGATTTCCAATTTTGAAATTTGATACTGTATTACCCGATGTAGGTAACTTGTTCGATGTACAAAGCTTGCTCATCAGATAAATTACGAGTAACATTATAAATACAATTATATAATTATAAATACAATTATATTAATTCTTATATATATAGATATTAAGTATACGATAATATTTTTCGACTGTAAAAACCGTATATTTTTATATCAATAATTATCAAATTATGCGAAAGAAAAAAATTAAAGAAAAAATGGTGTCAAGTTTAATTATAACAATCATTTTTTTTTGAAATTTTAAATTGTTCAATTTTATAAAAATAAGTTCGTATATCTTTGTTTCAAAGTAAATTTCTTTCCATTCTTCTATTTTTCTAACTGATATAATCTTTCTATTGTTCCAATTGATATAAAATATATAAAATGTGATACATGGATAAGATAAGTAACGAATACGACGAATAAGCTATACATTCACTTTTCTTCATCTCGTTTTTTCGATAATATTCGTTATATTCTATTACTAAAAACAATTTGATAAAAAAGCATTGAAATAATTTTCTTATCATAAAAATATAATCTTTTCGATGGTCGAATGTTTAAATTTAATAAAATTAAATTAATCAAAGATAAAATAAATTCTTACTTACATCTACCAAATTATATTCCAAAACGTCATTCATATAAGTTGGTAATTCCGTGATAAGAGTCCAATAACCCCAATTTTGTCCGCAATGCACAATTATTAGAGCCCACATCGGCACCGATGTGAAAATAGCTTTCCACGGTGTTCTCATCGCCTTTAATAATAAATCATAATCAAAACATAAAACGATAAATAATTATACAAAGTATAGATACATTCATTGTTATATTATATTTTATAGACGATTTCTTTCTTTTTTTCGATCATTGAGATAAGAAAAGAAATAAATTCTTACCGTTTCGCTGCTCGGTTTTTCTTTTTCCTCGCTACTTTTTAAACTGTTTTCGATATATCGCCTTTCTCTCTCCGATATTCGCGAATGCTTAGAAGGACTGTCCGAACCAAATACGAAGAATATAATGCCCCAAATCACGGCCAAAGCGCCAAATACGTAAAAAATAGATGGCCAGCCGGCACTCGATGACGCTAACAATCCAGAAATTGGAAAACAAATCACGGTACCGAATTGTGCACCGGCGTAAGCAAGTGTTCCTAAAATTAAAAAAAAAATATTAAGCGTTATGTATAATTGGATTATGATTCAATTGTGTACAATCGGCGAATGTTTTAGCGAAATTTTATGCAACGTGAATAAATTCTAATAACAAAATTGATTATTAATTGATAATTGAATAAATTGATTACGTCAAAATAACGTATATTCTACGTCTATTCTATATCTTATTCTTCAATTAATATTCCAATATACAAATATTCGACAAATTCATTCATATTATTTTCTATACATAGTATGAAAATGATATTTATTCAATATCGATGTTGTCTTAAAAATTTAAAAATTCGTGCATTTTATAAGGAATATTTCAAAATGTGATGTAAAAACTTTCGAATATAACTTAAAATTAACTATTTTTCGATTAGAAATACGAATACGAATAAACTATTAATAGACGATTACTCTATGTGCGAAAAATAAGGAAAAAAAATATGGAATAAAATTTTATCGCTTAAACATTTGTTTCCGGGAAAATTTCGAAAGGAATATGCATAAGCGATGGATTCTCGAGTTCAATTGTCTTTTTTTTTTTGTTCGAAAATGAATAAACCTCGAATGAAAAAATTGCATTCCATATTTTTCATTAATTTTTTTCACACGGTATCATCCACTATCCGATCGTATCATCAGAATATATGTACACGTATGCGTATATATCCTGTATTTTATATAAATACAAAGAAGGTTAATATTCAAAATTCAAATTCTCAACATGTACGGTAAATTATAGATTTACCACACGTGTCGAAATAGAGGTTATGGAATCGCCGTTCATCCAAGGGTACGCGTATTCGATATTCAGGGATAATTCTTTATAGCTTCTTCCTCGCTTAATTCGAAGTACGAGTATGACATAATTACGAAAGGAATAGTGGGGAAGAATAGGAAGGTCGTAAACCAAGTAAAGTTATGTTGTAAACTTAAGCGATACGATCGATTAGTGGAATAAAATTCAAGGTTGAAAAAAATGTATACTATATCACGTTAAAATCATACTTGTACGATGACTATGAACGAATCTACATTTAAGTAGCTCGTGTTGTCTCATTATACACGCGATAAATGAATTTTGCATGTCTTTTGGTAAAGACATGCAAATCGTTCCGATTTACACTTGCTGCACAAACACGAATGCATCTCGAACGAATCGATCGATCGATATTCGCTACCGTTTCTTCCCGTTGAACGATATATCGAATAAATATCATATATATCGATAAATATTAAATATTAAAACTTGCTGGAGAAGCAAAGCAATTGACGCGAAATGAAAAATTAACGTACATATACGTTATATGTGATATAAATTACATTCAAATTGAACACTCAAATTAATGCAACGTTAATAAATAGTTAATAATAGTTAATTGGATTGAAGAAATATAAAAAGTTTGAAAATATGGAAAATAAAATTAATAAGAGGATATTATTAAATACTCTCACCGAGTCGTGCTCGTTCAGTCGGTGGTGCCCACTTAGAAAGAAGGGTGTGTATACTCGGTAACAGGCAACTCTGAGAAAGTCCCATGCCTACCCTACAAGCACAGACAGCCAAATAACCACCGTAATGGGCAAGAGTTGGTGTCAAAATATTCAAGATTCCGCAAAGTAGCAGTCCGAAACTCAATAATTTTTGAGCACTCCAAAATGCCGCTATATAACCACTTGGTATTTGCATGATCGTATAGCCCCAAAAAAAAGAGGAGAGTATTGTTGCACTTTCGGTTGACGACCAATTGTAAACCTAATTACACACGATAAAAACGATTTTTATTACAAATGTTCGTAAATGGAAATCTCTAAAATAATCAAATCTCAAGATAATAGAAATAGACCGTTTTGTTTTAATTAAATTTTTTTTTCTCTCTATCACCACGTCACCACGTTCATGTGCGTGCTCCTATAAATTATTTCGATTTAAATATCGTAAAATCGTTTACAACAATGAATGATTCGAACTCATTCCTATTGACCTATCGTAAAAAAACTTGATACACGGAGATTTTGAAAATATTTTATTTTTAAATATCCATCGTTTTTTTAACTTACTTTTGAAAAGAAAAGGTAACGGATAAACAAAAATATATAAGGTATAATGATAAGTAATGATAATACGTAAATAATACGATTCGTTATAAATATTGTTAAAGCTTTATCAGTTTCATTGCATAATAATATATACAGTAATGTGATAATAAAACACACATATATTATATAATGTGGTAACTGGATGTGCTTCTATCATTCTATATTTCGTACGTTATTCGATAATTTATGTTACATTACCAAACGCGTATACGGAAATATCGAGTATTGAATATCCATTGTGTATATTATATGAATGGAAAATATGGATATAGAAGGAAGATAGATTATAAATAAAGGATAGATTATACCGTAATTGTAAGTATATTTTCTTTAGAATTCTTTTGTTATCGGACTATATAAGTAAGATAAGTCCTAGGTAAGATCAAGTTGCAATAATTCTCATCAATCATATTGTTTCAGATTCATTGTGTAAATTCATTGTGTAAAACCATTGAATCATCAAAAATTGTATTAATATTTTTTCCATATATTTTTTATGAGGTCGACCGAGATATTGTTTGATCCGTATTTATCAAAAGAGATAATATTGTTGTTTGTTATTGTTGAAAAATTTTACTTGCCATAATAATATTATTTTATCACATTTTATTTTATTTTATTATATATCATTTTTATTAAATTCACTATTTTAAATTCAACCACTGATATATAAATAATTATTAAGTTAAATACGAAGAATTGTTTTTTCGTGTAAAATTTTCTTTTTATGGGAAATAAGTCGAATGATTCATTTTGTCCTATATCCACATATAGCGCTTACATTCTTAACGTTATATAATATACGAGCAAATAATATTACCAAAGTCGTTAAGTTTATCTAGATATTTTTACAATACACTACTAAATGTATTGTTGCAGAAGAATTTTTTGAAATTTTTATGGAAAATGATTATTTTCCTCAATATTTTGATATATCGTTACCGTTTATTACATATATATAAACAAGTTTTTCTCTCTTTTATTAAATTATTATAAAAACAACAACTCATCATTGATATATTTATATCAAATCATGTAAAGATGACATGACATATATTTCGATGATATATTTGATACCATCGTATCTATTTAAAAATCGAAATCAATAATGTACTTAAAAAAAAAAAAAAAAAAATTTTAAATATTTATTTACTGTTTTCTCTTCTCTTTTCTTCTTTTTTTCTTTTTCTTTAATAGATATTATTATATATCTTTATCATATCATATATATCTTTCTAAATTAATATTAATATAAATATGTCTGATGGAAAATTTCTCTATCCAATTATCCAAGTATAGTATCTGTTTTTCCTTAACAATAATTTTTATAATTCATTTCATAATTCAAAGATTGCGTATTCAATGGAAATATACTTCGTATATATGTAGAGACGAATATCTATGCAACATATATACATAAATATTTTCATTTATTTATCACTCAAAGTTCATCACTTAATTCTAAAATAACGCAATTAAGTACTAATAATATTCAACGTCTATTATACAAATTTAAAGAAGATTAAGCGTTTCGTAAGACTTATTACACACATACCGATATCTAGATATACATTAGATTTATTCTTTAAACATTCATTTACGTAAGAGATCAATATTTTTATTTATTAAATTTATATAATTTATAAGAGAATATATTTCAATTTTAATTTCATAAAATTTCTCCATTTTTTTCTTACAATTCGATCTTAATGGCAATAAGTAAAAAATACCGATTATTTTAATAAAGTTATTATTATCGTGTTGCCTACAAATTACAAATTTTCTATAGTAATTTAAAAAAAATATATATATATGCAAATAAGATATATAAAAAAAAAAGTTTTGTGACTATCTCTCTAAAAATATAATTACCTATGCCAGAAAAAAATAAATTTTAAATTAATGTTGCTAGTTTCGATAACAGTTATGCGATATATATAACAAAAAATGAATATGTCGCTTTTTTAAAAAGTATTTCTCATCCTCTAGAAATTCATTAATAATTTTATTTTATTTTTATTCTTTAAAATAATTTAAGATATTTCATCATTAATATTGTTCGATTGTTCTTTTTCATCGCATTTGAATATTAGAATATAAAATTGATTTAATAAGTTGTTAATTTTATCGTTAATTACTTATTGTTAGTCGGCAATGAAGAGATATTTAATGAAAATTTAATATCTTAGAGTTTTTATTACTTATGCCGAATATATACGAAAACTTAACTGAAATTTAAACATTAAAATTATTATATGATTTAATATACAAGTTACCTCGAATTGATAACTATTGGACTCGTTCTGTGTCATTGGCACAATAGCTACCGACATGCTCACTCGAAGAGAATATCCTATCACCATCCCTAAGAAATGTAGAAAAACTTGCAAATGTCTGATTCCAAGTTTACCTGAAATAACACAATTTATATTTTTCTTTTTTTTTTTTAACATACATTTTACATATATCGTAAGCATTATAAAATAAAAATTAATATTAATATTATATATTCCGTTCTCTCTATAATCTCTATCAAGAATCTAAATTGAGGATAATTAATAAATAAAAAATTTATTTCAAAAATTAAAATAAAAAAAAGAGAGAAAAAATTTTCAAAGGTTATTTAATAAATTATCTCTAATATAACATAGAAAAAACACGATAAATATAGATAATTAGATAACATTATAACAAAGACTTGAATAAAAATCAACGATACATAATAAGATTCGATAATTAAATTTAATATCAAAAAAAATTTAATTAGTACAGCAGGGTTTGATAAATTTTCCTCTTCCTTCCCAGCAATTTCAATTTCTTTGATAATTTAAGAAAATGTATAATGTAAAGCATTGACATATTTTTTTTTTATTAAAAACCCGATAACTAATTTTTAAATAATATAAATATAACGCATATTGTTAATTTTTGTTATCTTTTAAATTGTTTTGAAATTCTTATATCTTTCTACGGAATATATAAACAAAATCATTACACCAGTTAAATATTTTTAGTTAAATTAGAGTTAAATTAATATTAATAAGTTGCTCGTTATATTTTATAAATTTCTTTTCAGTTTTTTGTATTTTATTTTATTTTTTGCATTTTTATATTTTCAATTATTTAAAAAGATATATAAAATACAATAATAATAAAATGAAAACTATATTTCTTAATTTAATCATAAAAAAATAAAGGATAAAATTAAATTTGAACAATCTTTTAGACAGAGATTAATAATAATAAATGTTTTACGATTGTATAAGAATATTATTACAGATAAAATAGATGTTTAACATCGAGTACATCAATCATACGTTATATTTTTAAAATTTCATTGACAAAAAAATATCATTTAATGTTATATTTTTATAATTATATATAATATAAAACTAATATTTTTATTATAATTTTAATTGCTTTTACAAAATATAAATTATTAACTTTCTTCTTCTTTCTCAATTATTACAATTATTAATTATCAATTATTCAAAACGACAAATCCAATTATAAATAATTTATAAACTTTACTGAAAAATAAACAAATATATGTAATGTAAATATACTAAATTATAATTATTCAAATAATACTTAATGCAAGTCAGATTTCACTGTTTTTGTTCAAATTCACTATTTCAAAAACATTATTTACCAATAATTTCAAAAACATTAATTTTAAATAAAAAAAAAAAAACATTATTTACCAATAATATTTGTTGTCTCTTTTTGTACATTCTGGACGAGTTCCTCGTTCTTCATGGCTGTAATTTCCAATACTATCAAACACAGACTGTTCAAATTCTAATCTGTTACTCGATGATACTTATATCGAACATATCTACTCCCCGCCTACTGTCTGCAACCTCTCTTTTTCCTTTACAAATCTATCCCACTTCTTCGCAATTAGTTTCGAATGTTTGCTTCGTCGGAGTTTGAAAGAAAACTGAAGTGACATGTCTCGTACAAACAAAAAAGATAATCAACAATTTTATTGAATTACACTTGACTTGTGATAACGATTATGGAATGTTTGGGCAGAAATAATATATTCAAAAATCTTCTTTTTTTTTTTTTTTTTTTTTTTTTTTTTTTTTTTTTTTTTTTTTTTTTTTAAGACAACTTAAATTATCATTCAATTATTCTTTTCAATAATAATACACGAATCTAAAATGATATTTATTGTATTATTATATTTTATTATATTTATATATGTACGTACATATAAAATTATATAGAAATAATATTGTTATTTACAATATTTATTAAAAATGTTCAAAAATTTTCATTTACATGTCATTTACAGTATAAAGTTTCAATTGATTTATATACAAAATTGTCATTTTCTTTATGTATAAAACGGTTTATGAATTTCAATATATTTTATAGCTAATGTCTTAAGATAATAACATTTTATAATATTTAATTAGATTTTTATATTACAACTGTATATATCGTAATTATCATGTTTATTAAATTATATACAAATATGTATATTTTTAAGTCATTTGTATATTATTTAAAATTATTTTAAACTTAAACTTAAAACTTACATAAAATTTTATTTTATTCCAATCTACATTATATTTTATATATCTATATAGAAATATATCTTTACATATGTAAAATTTTAACAGAAATACATTATCTTACATCTCGTATTTTATATTTTAAGCTTCTTTTTTAAAGATCTATTGCAATTAGTTGTATTAGTTGTATTAGTTGTATTACTATTTGAACATTCATCTTTATCAGGTATTTTCTCCGGTGTTGGACATAAACCTAATTCAGGCAATCTGAAAGATAAAAAAAAAAATATAGATATTTAATTTTACATACAAGCTTATATAAAATTTCAATGTATTTATTTTCCTTAAGTAATAAGTAATTAAATTTAAAAAAAATCAAATATTAAATATGATTTTCTTTGTTATATAATTTTAATTTTAATCTATATTTATAATTACCACATTATATTGATATTTATAAAGTAATTTAATATTAGTTTTATCATTGTAATAATTTTATCTTTTTTAAATTTAATAATTATAATAATTAAAGAAAAAAATATTTAAGTTTTCATACTTCTATAAAATTTTCTATTATTTGAAAAATATTTTTTGTAAATTAATGAAAAATATTGCTTGTATTATTTTTATTTTTATATAAATTATAAATATTATTAATCCTATTTATAATTTTTATTATTTAAAAATTTCAGGAATCAGGAACCAGGAAAGTCATTGACTAATCTTTTTTTATCATAAATATTTTATCATAATTTTATCATATATAAAATAATGATAATTATATTCTGATGAATTAAATTTTTTAATAAATTTTTGAAATTTAATCGATCTAACTTTTAAAATTAAGCAATTACATAATATTAAAATAATTTCTACTTACGTTATATTTTCATTTTGTTTTTGTGTTTTACAATTTTCTTTTTGTTGACTTGTTTGCATATTATTAAATTTTTGTACTTGTGTCCAATATCCACTTTTCAAAGTATTTTGTGTCGGAGGAGCAATTCCATTTTTTTCATAATATTTTTTCAAATCAACTGTAACACTTTTTGTACAATTATATGTTTTATATATTCCAACCAGATAGTCCGCAAGTTCAAACATATTAGATCTTAAAGATATAATTATAAATTGTGCATTTTTTGTTCTTTCCTTGATATAATTTCCAACAATTGAAACATTTTTAAAATCTAAGGCAGCATCTATCTCATCCATAAAGTATAAAGGAGTCGGTTTATAATGATGTAATGCAAATACAAGAGCTAAAGAACTCAATGTCTTTTCACCACCGCTAAGATTACAAATATTTTTCCAAGATTTTTTGGGAGGTCTTACGCTAAAAGCAATTCCTTCGCTAAAAGGATCTAAGGAGTCGACCAATTCTAATTCAGCATCACCTCCTAACGTAATCATTTGATACATCTCTTTCAATTTGTCAGTAATAATAGTAAAACCTGCAAGAAATTCTTGTATTTTACGACGTCTTGTCGTTTCATAAATATCTCTTATTCTATTGCGTTCAATCGTTATCTTTTCTACGTCGGTAACACGTTGTAAATATAATGCATCTTTTTCTTTATATTCTGCGATAAGTTGCATATTCGGAACTTCGGTAGGTAATCTTTTCTTAATTTTCTGCAAATTACCTATAAGAACATTTTCATCCAATTCACTAAGTTCCTCTTCTCTTAATTCTTTCAATTCTTCGATACTTTCACCGGGTATTACTTGAAGTTTTAAATCATTTATTCTTTTTGTATAATCTAGACATTTTTGTTTCAATTTTTTAATTAAATTTTTATATTCGTCTAATTTCTGATCAAGATCTATTTTAATTGTCTTTATTTTATTCTCTCTAGCCTGTAAATCATTTAATTCTTCTTTGAAAGATGACACAGCTTCATCTCTTTCCGAAAGAGCTTCCGTAAGTTCATCAAGTTTTTTTAAATATTCCTTTCCCTGTACTTCTAAATCTTGTTTTTCCTTTTGAAAATTACGAAGCTTTTCTTCACTAGTATGTATATCATTTTCTAAACAAACTATTCGTTGTTCGATTTTTTTAACATTTCTCTCAGCTGTTTTAATAGCAACTTGGAATTTACATATTTCAGCTTTAGTCGCATCAATTAATTTACATAGTTCAGCCACTTTTTTTTGCTGACTTTTAACAGAGTTTCCTGATAATGTTTCTATTTCTTTATTAATCCGAATTACTTGATCTTCGATATTTTTTGAATTTTCTTGCACTTTTTCCAGAGTATTTTTAGCAGTGTTCATCGCATTTTTTAATTGTTCAACTTTTTGCGGGTTCGATACTGAATTTACAGTTTTTTTTTCTTGAACTTTAATTTGCCCCAACAATGAAGGTTTTTGTTCCTCCAATGTTCTCAATTCAATATTTAATTTTTCCTTATTAATTTTCATATTCCTTAAATCTACGTTTAAATTATGAATCTGATTTTCCAGAGACTGAGATCTAATTTTAAACTGATTGCACTCTTCGTAAGTTTTATTCAAATTTGATTGTAATATTTCTATATCTATCGAAGAAAGTTCATTTTTCAAAATTTGTTGTCCTATTCTCCCTCTTAACACTGTTCTCCCACCTCCACTCATTGTGCCCGATAATTCGATTAATTCACCTTTTAATGTAACTACTCTGAAACGTTTATGACCATATGCGATTCGTGTTGCTTGATCTAAATTATCTGCTACTAATGTATCTTGTAATCCATAATAAAATGCCGGTAATACTCTTTCGTCTTCTACGCGTATAAGATCAAAAAGTCTTGGAACATTTTCAGGAGTTTGTATCTTTTGTTTACACCTCGATAAAAAACGTTGTTGTTTTTCTAGAGGTATAAACGTTGCACGCCCAATATCATTTTGTCGAAGAAATGTTATACATATTTGTGCAGTTGTTACGGTATCTACTACAATGTTATCTAGAGGACCACATGCTGTTGAAACTGCAATATCATATTTGACATCTATAGCACCAAGATCACCCTATACATGTTAAAAAAAAATGAATTTTATAAAATTTTATGTAATAATACTTACACATAT